AGAATTCACCTTAAACTCCTGAAGAACACAAACGTTGACTATGAGAACTCGTGGCAATGGACGAGAATCTAGAACAAATCTCCACTTACTTCTGTTGCCACTACTCCCGTGGAGGGTCCCTGGCCAAAGCTCCAATCGTGAACCAAGGAGAAAGAGTAAAGAAAGGAAACTTACAGCTATATTCAAGCTCCTCCTCACTTTCTCATAGTCGGCAAAAATCTTCCTACGCTCCGTCGCCCAATCCAGATTGCGCTGGAGCCGGTCGCTCCTCCCATCCTCCCGCGCCGACGAATGGCTCTCAATCCTCCTCAGGATCGGCGGCAGCAGCGTCGCCAGCGCAATCCAGAGGAGGACGAGCAGCGCCCCCGCCGCGCTCCACGACCTGGCGCTGCTGGAAACATCAGCCGCCCCGTTGACGAGCATTGCCACAAAATCATGCATCACCGCGATCATCCCTCGCCACGCCGCAATCGATCACGCTCATACGATCGCGAATCGCGCGCCCCGATCGATCGATCGCCCTTTCTAATCGCTCGAAATATTTTTGCTCGCGCCCAGAAATTAGGGCTCCTACTATTTAGTCCTCCTCGTCCTCTCCAAGAACTTTCACAGTGGAAGCTTTTAGAAGCGCCAATCAATTCCAATGGCGCATTTTCTTTCTTGTGTGTCCCAAAAACCGGCGGACACAGTGTCGCATTTTCGCCACGTGTCGGCGCGATCCCATGGTCCACGTGTGACGCCTTGGCCGCTCCACATTGTGCCACGTGTCGCAAGTGAAACCAGGTCCCTAGAATACGAGGAGATAACTATTGTTATCAAAAAGAATATATGTTCTTTACTTTCACCGCCATTTTTTTCTTACCGCGAGTTTTGACTTTGTAACTTTAACCGGTCAATCATCGAATCTTTGCGTTTGTTTAGTGTGTCAACATCGTCGCACACTTCCCGGGACGATGGATGGACGGGCACACAACCACAAACACAGACCACTTTATCAAAAAAAGCAAAGCTTGGATGGGATTGGGCTGGAACTGTGTTTGATTTGAGTAATCCAAGGTTTATCCACAGTATTATATAAAAATCTCTTGCCAAGGATCATTGTCACAACACACACCATATAAAAATTGTAAGAAAACTCTATATTCCCAGACTGGAGCCGCAACAAATCATGCCATAGGTGAGGTCCAACACGACATAAGTATCAATGTTCGCGAGTAAAAGAAAGGTGGTGGAGCCATGCAAACGCAAAGCAAAAAAGAACAAGCCAACAAAGCGGGCAAAGCTAAGCGCGCACTTGTGATGCGCCTCTCTCTTCTTATCTCGCGAATCGCGATTAAAATTAAGAGGCACTTAGACTAATGCGATGCACAGAGATACTTGTCGTGCAATTATAATTAGCATCAGCGATCGGTATATTCGTCCTCGTCCTACTTTTGTTGGACATTCGGACCAGACCGCCCAGCCACCGCCACCAGCCGGTCGCCACGCACGGCAACCGGTGGCGCCGGTACACCTCCCCTTCCTCCAACACTGCAAGCTCCTTCCCCCTTTCTTTCTTTCTTTGTCAGAGTGTTCGTGGCTATGGAGCTGTCTTGGTGGGATTTTAGGGTTTGAGCGAGGCGCGAGCGTTGGCGCCAAGCGGAGCTCCCCGCGGCCAAGGCGGCAGCTGCATTACCGGTAAAGGGGATTCTCCTTCTTGTTCTTGCGCGCTTCTTTCCAGCGGCATTGGAATCGCGAGATTTCACTGAGGAATTTCCGGCTTGCAGGCTGCGATCGAGGGGAATTTGGCGATTGTGGCGATCTCCGGCAATATTTGGAGCCCTACCGCAGCATTCCGATCTCCCGGCGGTAGAATGCCGGGACAGAGCCCGGGGCCGATGAGCAGCCGGGATGCCAGCGATCTGGGGAAAGGTCGAGGAACACGAGATCGTGAAGAAATCCGAGGAGGTGGAGAGGAGAAGCATCTGGATCAGCAGCTATGGCAGGCGTGCGCCGGAAGCATGGTCCAGCTCCCGACCGTCGGCTCCAAGATCATCTATTTTCCGCAAGGCCACGCCGAGCAAGCGGCGTCGTCGCCAGATTTTCCTCGCGCGCTCGGCCCCGCCGGCACGGTTCCATGCCGGGTTCTCTCGGTCAAGTTCTTGGCGGACAAGGAGACGGACGAGGTGTTCGCGAGCTTGAGACTACATCCCGAGAGCGGCAGCGACGAGGACAACGATCGAGCAGCAGCGCTATCGCCATCGCCAGAGAAGCCGGCTTCTTTCGCCAAGACTCTCACCCAGAGCGATGCCAACAACGGCGGCGGCTTCTCGGTCCCCCGCTACTGTGCCGAGACGATCTTTCCCCGACTAGACTACTCGGTGGATCCCCCCGTCCAGACCGTGCTCGCCAAGGACGTCCATGGCGAGGTGTGGAAGTTCCGGCACATTTACAGGGGTACTCCTCGACGCCATCTCCTCACCACTGGGTGGAGTACTTTCGTCAACCACAAGAAGCTTGTTGCCGGGGACGCGATTGTCTTTCTACGATCCAATTCCGGGGAGCTCTGCGTGGGTGTTCGTCGCTCGATGAGGGGTGGCGGCAGCGGAAATGCGGATGCTTTGCTGTGGCACTCGGCCAGCAGCCGCTCGAGTTCCCGCTGGGAATTGCGGCCACCGATGGACACTGGTCTCTCGGACGGGACTCTGATGGGAGAGAATGGATCCTCGAGATCTGCTGGCGGTGGTGGTGGTAATGGTGGTGGAAGTTTTACTCGGAACCGGGCCAAAGTCACAGCTAAGTCGGTCCTGGACGCGGCCACGCTTGCGGCATCTGGCAAGGCGTTCGAGGTTGTCTACTATCCGAGAGCTAGCACGGCGGAGTTTTGTGTCCGGGCTCAAACTGTGAGGGCGGCTCTGAGTCACGGATGGTACGCTGGAATGAGGTTCAAGATGGCGTTTGAGACCGAAGACTCTTCACGAATCAGCTGGTTCATGGGGACTATATCTGCTGTTCAAGCCGCGGATCCAATACTCTGGCCGAGCTCGCCGTGGCGTGTACTTCAGGTACTGTTCAGTCTTTTTTTTTTGTTTTGTTATCGATTTTAACTTCATCCGGATGTACAGGTGGCTTGGGACGAGCCTGATCTTCTGCAAGGCGTGAGTCGTGTAAGCCCGTGGCAAGTGGAGCTGGTGTCAACTCTGCCCATGCAGCTTCCACCGTTTTCACTGCCGCGGAAGAAGTTTCGGCAGACCCCCGCACCCGAGGGTCAAAGCTTTTCGGGATTGCCGACGACAACATTTGCCAACGGTGTCTTGGGGCAGGCAAATCCTTGGCATGGTCTTTCAGATGATGTTCCTGCAGGCATGCAGGGAGCCAGGCATGAGAGGCTTTACGGGCTCACATTCTCGGAGTGTCAGCCAACTCGAATTCACTCTGGCTTGTTGGAGAACAGGTACCAAGCCCAGGACATCCCTGTTGCAGCCACGCTGGGTTATGGTGCTACAGATCTTAGACTAGGCAACGTGTTTCCGCAAGGAGGTAGCGGTGGTGGAGAGCAGCGGACTCTTGTAACAACGGTGCTATGCAACGGCTCTCAGAACGATTCGGGTGTCAGCTGCACAGAGAGCTCCTGCAACAAGCAGGGGACATTTTTGCTATTTGGGAAGAAGATCGAGACGGCGAGAGTGCAAGAGCAGCAAAACTCGGCTGGGAGCTCCTCCGAGGCAACGTCTAGGCACAACGTGCCTTCTCAGCAGCCCAGCGCGAGCTCGTCGGGGGATAGCCATAACGACGCTGTCCAGCAAAACGTTCTTCTGCAGGAGAACGGGGAGTCTGGGCACGGCGGTGACGTTGGCGGCTCGAAGTGGTTAAAGAAGCAAGCCAGCGTTTTATCGTGGGAGAAGAAGGACAGGCTCGAAGGCAGCAGCAGCGACGAGGAATCATCGCAGTGCAGGGTGTTTATGGAGAGCGGGGACGTTAAGCGGACGCTCGACTTGTCGTCGTTTGGCTCCTACGACGAGCTCTACAAGCAGCTGGCCACGGTGTTTTGCGTCGATATGGCGAAGATCTCCGGCCGTGTTGTCTACAAGGACTCGGAGGGATCCACGATTCACACTGGCGGCGAGCCTTACGCGTAAGCTTTGGACGCTTTCCATTTTTCATAGCTTGTGCTCATCTGTGCCTCGTGGCTTTTGGTCCGACGCAGGAATTTTGTGAAGTCGGTGAGGAGGCTGACGATCCTGGCCGACACGCAGGATTCGTAGCTTCCGGTATGAGTATACTCTGGGAGCTGTGTACGTGTTTTTAACAGGATGAGAGGCGGCAAAAGCGGCCATCGTTTATATTCTGTCCACCGCGAGAGTGTAAATGTAGAGGGCGGCGATGACTTGTTTTGTGGTGGTAAGAGCTTTGTCGAGCCTTTTCCCGGTTTTGGTGATTAATCGTGTGTTTGGATTGGGTTTTCTAAAGGTAGCAAGTGGATGAAGAAGGGGACTGGCAAGCGGCAAAAGCAGTGACGCCTCAAAACGAAAGAGGAGGTGGGTCAACTTTTAGAGACTTAATGCGCGTAGCGATTCCCGGCATTTAGTAGCAGGGAGACAGGGAGAGTGATGGTTTTGGATCTTAGGAGGAAAGAAAGAGGAGGCGTGATTGTTTGGATTTGGGGAAGAGAAAGGAAGAATGAGAGGAGAGAATTGACAAAGAGTGAGATGGTTTTTAGATCCCTCGAGGGAAAGAAAGATGGAGGAATTGAGAGGAAAGGGGGGATGGTTCGGCGGTACTAGTCTTGTCGTTTGGTATGGAGGAAGGAGAGAGACTGGGAAATCACTTGGCAGCTCCAGCGAGAACGAGATGAGACAAGACAACCATTCCGAGTTAATCGATCGATGGAAGAACAGAGATTGCCGGTTTTCTTTTCCATCTCGAAGGATCTACCGACGATCATCGCTCTATCTATCTCTAGCTGCTGGCGGAAGAACAAAACAAGGAAGAAAACTCCAAAGAGAGGAGATGTGTGTGTGTCCCTGTGTTCTCTCTCCAGCTGGTGGAAGATTATAGAGAGAATCAAAGCGTTTTTGTAAAAGAAGATAGCTAGCTTCTCCAGCTGGTGGAAGAACAGAGATTTCTAAGAATTTTTTTTATATACACTGACTGGAAGAACAAAACAAAACCAAAGACAAAAAAAAAAAAAAAAGAAGAAAAGCAAAACCTCGGTGGCGATCTCCGCTTATTACGCGATAGTACAAAAGAATTTGAGAGAGAAAGAGACACGGTACCTCGTTTTTTATTACTTTATGAAAGTTTCTGATGACCGCCGCCACCACCGCCGCCACCACCGCCGCCACCGCCACCACCACCACCATCGACTCCTACTTTGGAGTCTCTTTGTCTCTTCGCTCGACGCGCAGCCTTGGATCGAGCACGCTTCTCTGACGGATCCATCTTCCGGCTCGCCGATCCCGCGCCTCCTGTGGATTCAGTCTCCACAAACTCGGGCCACGGCGTGCGCTGTGCCGGGACAGTGATCTCCAGTGGCGAAGTTAAAGACCACCTGTGTGGTAAACGCGTTAGCTGGTATATATGGTATCCCCGAGTCGGGCATAGAGCAACTTGCCTGGGAGGATATCGGCTATCGGCTCGGGCTTCCACCCGGATCCACCACAGCATCACCTCTCGCCCGCAGTTGCCGAGAGCCTCGATGAATCCCTGGTCCTTCGCCAGCCTCAGCGGGCTTCCACTGTCCTCGCTTATCCATTCCTTCCACTCGTTGATCCACTCGGGCTTCCTCCTTGTCGAGGCTCTCTCTGCGTCTTCTTCTTGTTGCTCGTCTTCCATCGTTGATGATGATGCTTCTTCCTCCTCGTTCTCGCTCTCAGCCTCGTCCCACACTGCTCTCGAGTTGATGACAAAGCCCGACCACTCGAGGTGCGTTGCCACGTCCGTCAAGCCCCCGGCAACGTCCGTGAACGAGGACGAGGAGTCGTCCTCTCCATCGACTGGAGACGGCCGGAGTACGTGCCAGCCAACTACGTGACATGTCTCGTTGCAAGCCGGGCCTTGGACTGGCAATCTCGGTTTTGCGGATGATGCTGCTGCTACCATCGAGCTCGCCGTCTCCGTTGCTCCTGACCCGGTTTCTAAAAGTCCAACTGACAAAGCTCCGATCCATTTCACCTTTTGGATTTCGTCAAAGAGCTGGAGGCTGTGCACGTTACTGTCGTCGGTGAACAGGATCAGGCCGTCGAGCTTCTCGCGTCTCACGTGACTGCGGAAAGGAAACAAAAAGCAAGCCAAGTGAAAAGAGTGTTAGGATCTGTTTAGTCAGCAGTGCTTAAGAATGATCGGATGGATGTTCGGGGAAAATGACACACAAACTCACGTGGAAAAGCACTCCAGTGCACCAAATAATCGTTCTGTGTCGATCAATCAATGACCCACGACCTTGAAGCAACAGCAACGACTCACGGCTGCATTATACCCACTCGGGCTCACTGTTGCTTGTCACTTACGCCAAGCAGGAAGCATTTCATTCTCAGCAGTTGTGGGACAAGAAAATAAAAATAAAAAACTTAATGCACATGGAAGAACTCTCGAGAAATTCAAGCACGAACACGAACGACTTACTCAAAGATCAATGCACATGAAGAAGGAATTTGTCTCGAGCAGAGCAAGAAGAACAACAAAAATTGTCACGTAAACCTCAGCACAAAGACGAATAATGCACATGAAGAAGAAGAAGATGAAAAGAAAAAAATGCTTACGAAAGAAAAAAAAAAAGGTGGAGAGAAAAAGTACCTCAATCCTTCGATCCGGAGCCTCGTCTCCATTCTCCGCCGCTGCTCCCACGCCACAGGCATCGCGTCCTTCACCCCCAGGTGCACAAACTCCAGCCTCGAGGAAGCGAGAATAGAAGCCGTCTCGTTCGATCGCCCGCCAGCCTCGACAACAATCCAGATCACCGGCCCAGGAGCCGCTCGCAGCGTGTGCATGACACCCAAGAGATGGATCGCCTGGAAAGTCCTGGCGAAAGTTGGCGTGATCGCTATCACCGTCTTCCTCTCCTTGGGCCCATACAAGCTCTGCTGCTCCACCTGGACCCTCTCCAGCAGCGCGTGGGCTCGGTAAATCTCCGCGGAGTCGGGGTGTGGCCATGGCCGGATGAGAATCTCGTGGCGACCAACGTGGACGCGGCCGCTCTTGGTCCTCGCCTCGGGTAGCCGACCTCCGCCATCTCGGACTCCATCCCGGACTCCAAGGCCGGGCTCCACATATGGGAATTTGATCCCCACGTCGATGAGCTCGCGGGGCTGCTGCTGGACATGCTGCTGTGGCGCCTTGAGAATCGCGAGCTCGGGCTGCTTGATGACGAGCACCAGCAGCGTCTCGCGCGAGAATCGAAAGCCGATGACGAGGCTGGCAATGCAGGCCACGGCGTGGAGGCAGAGGCGGATGAGCGGCCCCGGGCCGATGAGAACGCCGCCGCCGCCGCCGCGCTCCGGGCTGCTGCTGCCGCTGCTCTTGCGCGGAGTGGAGGCGGCGTTGGTGAGGGATCTCCGCAGGACTGGATGGAGGACACCACCGGCGGCTGCGCTGCCGGATTTCATGATCTTCTTCCTCGTGTGCTGCTGAGATCGCCGCGTGCGCACATGATTTACCAGCTCCTCCTGCATTCCATCCTTGGTCCTCCTCGCGGATTCAAGAACCCTAAATATCGCGAGGTAGCCACTGTGCTCGACGACCACTGGATTCTTGGGGATTCTGTGCTCTTACCCGATATTTCGCGATCGATCTCGGCGCTCGCGGATGCCTGGCGGGCAATGGCGGCATCAATCGATCAGCCGCGGAGAATTGGGAGTAGGAGGAGAGCGCGCTCGCGAGAGGGAAGGGATGTGTGGATTGCTGCGCGGATCAATCGATCGGTGGCGCCTAGGACCGGGGAGGCCGCGATCAATGCCAGGCATTCTCTCTTTTCTCTCCTTGGCCGCGTTCACCAGAGAGAGGGTGCCCGGAGCCACCGGTCACCAGGGCGGGGCAACGTAGAGGTACTGGCACCTGGCGGTTTCCGCCACGATGTGGCCGGTGGGTAGAACTTTCTGTGCGGTAAGGTGTCGGCGTTTAAATTACAAATCCCGGTAATCGCAGCCGTCCGTTTGGGACATCTCAACCGTGTTGGGTCCCGCCAGATTTGTGCCGACTAACAACTAGGGTTTAGGGTTTTTAGGGCTCTTCCATTACCTTCCATGGCGGGCGATGGGCGCCAGTGGCAGCGCCTTCCAATCTCTTCGTCGGGCGAGTGTGTCGATCCGAGGCAAGCTCTAGATTTTGTTCGTAGGCTGCGGCATTCCAGTCTTGGGGGTGGGGATCGTCAAGCAGTGATGGCCGTGATGGAAATTCTAGTCCGGCGGTGCGTGTACCCGCATTTGAGTCCTGGCGTTGGGATTCCTCTCCGGAAGAGGTTTAGAAATCCTTCCGCGATCGCTGGCGCCGCGGCAGCAGCGTCCGAGATCGATCCGCACAGGGAAGATGAGATCAAAGAACTTGAAAAAGGTTTCGATGCATTGGACAAATCCGTGGAGCTTCTTTGGGAGCTTGTGGTGGATTCAGAGGGCGGTGAGCTGCGAGAGATCGTTCTCTCGCACCATCTTCCAGATTTGTGGGCAGGGATTTTCCAGATAAGTCACAACAGTGACGACGAAGCTGCGACGTCTGGAAAGATCCATTCTCTCGTCGAGGCTTTACCAGTGGCTCATGCAGTCGAGGCTCTGATGATATTGCTGGCCAAAGAGAACTCTCCACCGCCATGGCTGGAGGCTCACGCAGGAAAAATTCTGTCCAGGCTTGTCATGCGTCAAGGTGGCGTAGCGGCGGTGCTGGAAAGGCTGGTCGGCAATGCAGCACAGGTATTACTACTTCTCAAGTCCCGATCGATGCAAAGCCTTGATCAAAAGCTTCCAGGGTGACGTCTCCGTCCAGAAGAGAGTAGCCACTCATCTCGCAAAGTGCCCAAAGTTCGTCGGCAATCCCGACAAGTACTACAGCAGCGTTTGCTCGCAAGTCCTCGAGATCATCTCCCTGCCAACAACGAACTCCAGTGATGCTGGCGAGTCGGCCGCTCGAGCAGTCAGCAACATGTATCACACGTCCATTGCGATGGTGTGTGCCATTGCTCGACGCAAGCCGGGGGCTGTGGAGGACTTCGTGGTGGATCCTTTGGTGGAACCATTGCTTCAGCTGGACTCTAAGCTGGAAGGGCAGGCAGTCCAGAGTTTGTTCAAGCTAAGCGCCATCGCCACGGCAGGAGACAGGGGTGTTCGCGAGATGATCGTTCGCAAAACCAAAGCGGTCACTCCTCGCCTGCTGTTGCTCCATCGGTTGGTGCTGGGTGATGGCAAACCGAATCCTTCTGCGGCTTTAAGCGATCGGGACCGGCTGAGAGCCGCGGTTGGAGACTTGGTTCTGGTACACTTGACGCAACCTCCCGGCCACTGTTTGGCCGTTTGCTGGAGCTACATCGTGGAGTTTTCGGTGAGGAGTTGCTGCTGGCAGTGGTCTGATGCGGGCATTGATCTCTCGACCAGCGTTTCGAAGAGCCCCGGGCGGTGAGTAACTTGTCGGCTTTCTTCGCACGGACTGATTTGGTTTGTAGCGGTTCCAGGCATCTGTTGGAGCTGGTGATGGAAGCTGAAAATCCGGCACTGGCCGATGGTCTGGTGGAGCGGGCATCGAGTAAAATCGCCGAGTTGGAAGGCGATTTGGAGCACGAAGATAACCAAATGCTGGTGGAAGTTTGCAGAGATGTGGTCCAAAGTTTCAAGCTTTGTTCCTAACGTGGTATGGATTTTTTATATCTTACACAAGTTCTCATGCTAGGTTTTTTTAATGGACCAGCAGAAAGCTCTTCGATTAAATACGAGGATCATTTCAACTCTAAATGCTGGTGGTCCAATGTTTCAAGCTTTGTTCCTAGCCTGGTATGATTTTTGTTCTCTTATACTAGTTGTCCAAATGTAAGAGAGGCCATCAAAGGTGCGTATTGGATGATCCAGCATTGACAAAAACAAATAGGTGATGAAAGTGCCTTTTAAATACAAGGATCATTTTCAAAACTGCAGCTCTCTCCTCCTCTTTCACAAGCTGTTCTCTTCGATCATAGCTCTCCTGAACAGGATGAGAAAAGGCTGGCCTGGAACCGAGTAGACAAAGCACAGCTGAGCTCCATTCAAGAAACCAACGCCCTGCTGCAAGAATGACATGAAACACGATTTACTTGCAACAGCTCTGCTTGCTTTACCTTTCCATCCAAGAGTAGCAACTCGCCATCGATCCAATGCGGGTTCTTGAAGCCTGGCTCGGCCACTTTCCCCCGGCCTTTGAATCTGGCCACCTGAGTATCAGTAGCGGGGCTTAGAAACATCGATAAGATTGGAACTACGCAAAACTGACCACTCCAAGCTCGTCGGGGTACACGCCACGGTGTGGAAGCCGAGAACCTCTACCAGTCTTAGCTCGGAAGATCACCTACACGATTTTGAAGTGATTGAAGTTAAGAAAAAGGAGATGAAGAAAACAACGTACCTGTCCGGCTGGAACGTGAAGATCTCCCACCAGTTTCACCGCCTCCACGTACTCAGTGAACTCGAATTCGTCGCTGTCGATGTTGCTCTTGTCATCTTCTTGCCAATTCCCGTATTTCTGTCTGAGTTGAATCACCTGGGAGCTGTAAGGTGCCAAAGTGCCGACATACAATGCGTTGAAAGGGTCGGCAGTAGACTTTGCTAGGCGGATGCGCTGGAAAGCTGTGGTTTTAGCTAGACCACGCCGGCGTTGTGCGTAATTGACAGCAAGCCGGATAATGTCTGCCACTTCCTTAGACACCTAGAAAGCAAAAAACCTGCGTTAGGATGCTAGAAGCTGTTAGAAAACGAGAGCAAAGTCACCTTCACTGGCAAGGCTTGAGACAACACCTTGCTGGCATGCTCGGACGTCAACTCGGACGGCTGCGCTGTTACGGCAAGTCTCCAAGACGACATCGCGTCAGTCGTAGAGATCTTCTCTTCCAAAAGGTCTTCGATGTGAAAGACGAAACTGTCTCTCTCCTTGTTCACGATCTTCGCGGGTATCCTGACTGGAAGAACCGGTACTTTGTCTTCTGGAACATTTTGCATCAGCCGCCCGATGAGCAATCTGACGCTCATCTCAACAAGCTCTTCTGCGGTCACTGCATTCTTGCCTTGCTTCTCCTGTAGCTGGTTTTCCAAAGGGGATTTCCCATCGTCTGAAGATCCCAGTTCCTCTTCTTTTTTGTTGTCCTCTGACGATTTGAGCTGATCGCCAATCTTGGGCAAGTCTTTCTCTACTTTATCCGGCTCCGTGGCTTGAAAGACTCGAAGCTTCACATCCGGCATTCTTCCTTTCAGAAAAGCAAGAATCCTGTTCAAGCCCTCGTCGAGAGAGTCTTTTTCATCTGACTTGAGATCGTCTGACACCTTGTCATCCCCTTCGCCATCTTCATTCTTCTCACCGCTGTTTTCAGATCCAGTTGCTGTCGTGTCGGCCCCAGTCCTTTCTCGTTGCAGATATACAGCCTGGGATAAAACGATGCGTCAGCGAAGTTGAGAAAAACGCTACAAAACTAGTACCTGGCTTTGGTAACCATTGTCATCATCCTTCTTGAAGAACACTTCAAAGAGAGGCACGCCCGGCGCTGCTGTCACAAGCTGCCTGAACTACAAATGAGTCTAGTGAAGTGAGTATGAGTCTTTACCTAGCACTGTAACCCCTAGCAACAAGCCTCCCTTGCGAAGAAGTGATATTGATAATGCGGCCAAATGGATCGTTACCCTCTTCTGCCGCTCCAGCCCACCATCCCACCTACAAGCACTTCCTCATTTGTAACACAAGAAAAACAAAAAACAAAAGAGGGAAACTACAAACCAGTCCAGCATCAGTTTCATCCCGAATTCTAGCCGCATCCTCGTAGCGTTCTTCTTCCAACGCAGTCTGGATCGTAAAAACCCCGTTCAAGTAAATCGAAGAAACGAAAAGGCTTCTACCTTCAAATCACCCATGAGTTGGCCAAGAGTGTCCCTCCTTCTAATATCTAGCATTTCGTTTCTTATCCTAGTAGCTTCACTGTAATCTTCCTCTTCAACTGCTTCCTCCAAATCAAACTGCATGAACGACAATTGCCACGATAAGAAACAAGAAAAAAAAGGAAAAGAAAAAAACGAACAAAACGTACCTTTAGTACAGACAAAAGATTTTCCTGCTCCTCAACCTCGTGGAAGAACGACTGCCAACGATCCCATTCGGTCTCCTCCTTGACAAGTTGGACGTCTTCCACAACCTCCAAAGTTGTGAGGCTTCGCGGCTTCAATAAATACTGCTGGAACTTCTTCCCAGCGATGCTAAGCATGCTCAGCAGCGGGGCTCTGATCCCCGCTAGAGCAGACTCAATCCTCCTGTCCCATGCATCGGCATTTGCCGCCTCGCCATCCCCAGTAGAAGAAGGCTGCTGTTCATCGAAATCCTCGCTCTTGCAGCGGCAATTCACCCCATCGCCCAGAAATCTCCCACTCCGAGGCCATACCCTAGCATGCTGCCGCGGGGACTCGCACAAGGGCGACAAATGCCCCTTGTGGGAGCAAACCAGACCCGTGCTGCTGCTACCTTTGGGAGCGCCGGCTGCCGACGACGATCGCTGGAAATGCTGTGCGCCGATGCCAAATCCCGCCGTGCTCCCGACGCCGATGCCCCTGCTGGAGCTGGAGGGAGCCTGCGCCACGGCCGCCATGCGCCAAAGCGCTGCGCTTCTGGAGCCCTAAGGCAGCGGAAGGAATCCTCAAATCCCAGTCGATTTGGAGAAACCCTAGAATCCACACTCATACGTTCGCCATACACACGCACGTACTCACACACAGGCTATGATGTCTTAGGCGATTTCCCGATAAGATATTACAAAGAATATACCATCGAGATATAAATTGGTTGAGACAGGTTTCGATCCCACGACCTTATGTTTCACATTTCTTATAATATATTTTTGTTAGATATATATATCTAATGTCTTAGGCGATTTCCCGATAAGATATTCTTTGTAATATCTTATTGGGAAATCGCCTAAGACATTATATATATATAATTTTATAAATAATTTTATAATTTATAATTTTATATAATTTTAATTTTATATAAATATATATAAATATAAATAATATATATATATAAATAAATAAATAAATATATAAATAAATATATATATAAATAAATAAATAAAAATAAAAATATATAAATATATAATTTTATAATTTATAATTTATAATTTATAATTTTATATAATTTTAATTATATTATATATATATAATTTTTAAAACATTACATTCTTATTACAAATTTTTTACAATATATTCTTTATAAAAATTTATTTCAGGTTGAGATTGAACTAAAATTTAAATGAAATAAGTTCTGAAAATAAAACATTTAATTTTAAAATAAATTTTAAGTAATATATATTCATATAAAAAAATATTATACTAATAAATATTTTTTTGCTAGCACTCTAGCTAAACCTTAATATATTTAAAATTATATTGAGAAAATTATATAAAATATAGTATCTAATAGTAATTATATTATTTATAATGTTTAAAATTATGAAATATTTAAAATATAAAATTTAAAACTTGATAATAAAAAACAAAATATAGATATATGAGTGCATAGAATATGGAAAGGGAATATAAAAATGTGCATATCAATTAGCCAAAAAACCCTAATTTATGTATAGGAGTAAGTTGTATAAATTGAAACCAATCCGATAGCTATTAAAATTCCATTATGCTAATATTAATATATGGCATTATAATTATATATTTAGACTTTCTATCATCCCATCCTCTCAGAAAAGATGGAAAACAAGCAAGATCCTTTGGTGGATAGGTCAGGATCTGATGAAATATTATAAAGAGGCATTAGTGGATCTATAAATAATATTAGTTGTTTCTTATCCTTTTGTATAAAACATTTCAGTCGTTATAATTTCTAAAGGATTGGCCTATTGGACGTTATGTTAAACCTCATAAATTTGCAATTCAACTTGCCACAACATTCAATACAATCCCTTTTACTTAGCAAGGAACCCTTTATACAAACCATGTACCATAAGATTATGAAAACAAATTAATATTAAATCATCCACTTTGTATTTTGCAGATGGATGATGATAGGAGTTGTAAGACCATTATTGTCCTACTTATATATGGCCCAAGTGTTCAGCAAACTTTACTCAAATAAGTGGAAGATTTAAAAAACTAAAAAGAATGATTTAAGAGATAATCTATAAGGGTTTAAATATAAAAGAAAAGGTCCATGAAAAAAATGCACCTTTTTTTTCAATCGGGTAAAAATTTTGGAATAGTTGAGGTTAAGTATCCTTACTTTGAACAATGTTTGTTCAAATAAAATCCTTTATTGTCCAAATATTACAAAATTTGGTTTAGCATCTGTACTTAATTAAATAGGGTTTAAGTAGTATTGGGTTAGGTGACCTTTTAAAAACTCTAAATTCAAAAGTTTACATTTGATATCAGAGCTGTTTCAAGTCCAACTCTATTAATTAACTAAGGGAATCATACCACATTTTAAGATTGATATTTGACAAATTTAATTTGCTATAACTGTGCTCAACCCGAGGGGTAGGGTGTCAAGCAAGTGAAGCTCTCGAAAGAGTTATAATTCTCAGCTTCTATTCATGAGGGCATGAACTTATAGGAAAGTGTGATAAATTGTAAGCAATTAAAAAGAATGATTTAAGAAAACAATCAATAAAGGTTTAAATATATAGAAAAAGTGCCTATGAACAAGAGTGCACTCTTTTTTCTAATTGGGTAAAGGTCTTGGGATGATTAAGTGTCTTTAAGTTTGAATAGTATTGGGTTGGATGACTTTCTAGAAAATCTAAATTTAGAAACTTACAAAAGAATATTATAGAACTTTATACCTATATGATATATACATACCAAATAGCAAATAACCATCTCAATCTGAATGTTAATAGTTCACATACTTTATGATTATCCATTTGAAGGACCGAGTAAGCCATTCTACC